CCCCCTTGGGCCAGCCTGGCGGGGGGACACAAGACACAGGAGAGTCAGCACCCGCTGGCAGGAACCCCAGGGCCTCCAGCCCTTCCCACCCCGGGCCCACGCTCACCGCAGCAGCTCGTGCTTCTTGGTGCGGTTGTGGGCGCTGAGGGCCTTCAGCTCCGCCTGCCTCTTGCGCAGCTCGGCCAGCACCTCGTCCTCAGAGTCCTCGGCCGGACGGTCCTCTGACTCCAGCAAGCCCTGGGCCACCAGCTCCTCCTTGATCCGCCCCTCCAGCGACTTGGTGTGGGGGACACTGCCGAGGTGAAGAGCAGCTGCTGCCCACCGCGCGGCCCTCGCTCCGGCGAGGAAGCCGCTGGAGGGTTCAGCGTCCTGTGGGCAGCCCTGGGGCCAGCTCAGCTGCTCACCTGAAGGGCTTGTTCTGGCTGCGGGGAGACGTGCCAGCACCGTCAGCTCCCGAGTCCTTGCCGGCGATCTCAGGGATGGGAGAGTCCTCCACGGGGGAGATGATGTTTTCCTGGCAACGGGAGCGCAATGGAAGGGTCACTGCGCTGAGCCACGGTGACGCTGCCCCGCAGGGACACAGCTCCGTGCAGCCCACCCACCCCATGGAGACCACTCACCTCCACAAGGGCCTGGAGGAGACGCTGGGTCAGGGGCCCAAAGGGACACCCATCCTCTGGCTGCTCGTGCTGGGCCTCCGACTTCTTCAGCAGGGCATCCACGTCTGGGAGGAAGCGAGAGGGTGAAAAAACAACCCCAAACACCCCGAGGTGAGCAGTGGGGCAGGGCAGCCATCACCCCAGGCACAGGGGGAGAGGGGCCAGGGCTGGCAGCCCCTCTGGGCAGAGATGGGTGGGGATGGAGGCACCTTTGGTGTCCAGCTCGGTCAGTGGCCCCAGGACACCTTTCTTCTTGTCAGCAGCTGCTGCTGCCCGGGCTCCATCCTTCTGCTCCTCCAGCAGGTCCTCCTGGGCCCAGCGCTGAGAGTAATGCTTCCCCAGGGGTGGGATCTGCAGGAGCAGGGTTTGGCACAGCTCCTAGAGACCCCCACCTTGCCTCCCACCTCCCACCCTATGCCACAGCATAATTTCCAGTTGGAAATGCTTGCAGTGAGA